AAAGTAAATACGTGCGGCCTTAAAAATTTGTGTGCCATCATAATAACCACACGACCGAGGGGGAGAAGGAGGAGCGTTACTTTATTATCAAGTGAACGGCGCGTGGGTCCCGTTTCAGAAATGAGGTAATCCTTTTACCGGGCCGTTACGTTCTTTGTCACGAACTCACACCTGTCAGGCACAAATTCGAATGGCTGTACTGAGGCCTGATGGTGCTTTGAACGCCGAAATTGGGTTTTGACCTTCCCTAGCCCCGTTCAATTTCCTATTAATAGGCCACTGTTTTTTTTTCTTTTTTTTCAACTTGATGACGCGAGGTAGTTATTTTTATTCTTTATTTTTTAATTTACTCCTTTTACATGTCATGTAATTTGAATTCAAAATTTTTTATTTTTAATAAAAAGAGATTATCATTGAAGTATTTAGATAATTGATATTACTGTTTTAATTCTTATTAATAGTAATAGGTTACTGTTTATCATTTTTGATTTTAAATTTTTTTAACATGTGTTTTAAAGATATAATTTTAAAAAATAATTAATGTATTGAGAAAATTAAAAATGACAATATTTTGATATTTTTAATATTAAAATATTTAATAATAATTATATTATAAATTTAATAAAATTAGAATCAATACTATATCTCATGTATTTAATAATTGTGATTAAAATCTTGACATTTTTAATAACAAAATGTCTTATTTTTTTAATATATATTTTTATTATTAAATTATACAAAAAGAATAAAATTTAACATTCACTTTCATAATTAATCGATTAAATTAAGATATGTGTCCTTAATATTAAAATTAATATTAATTTTTTTTTATTTTTTTATATAAATTAATGACTAAAAAGTGTATTAACTATATATTTAATATGTATTTTAAGGGAATAAGTTAAAAAAACCTTTTACTTTTTTATAATTAAGGTGTTTTCCAATTAATTGAGGCAACCGCAAAATTAATTCCTTAGTGATTTAATCAAAGACAAGTTATTTTTTTAGTATTAAATTCTTTTTGTGTGTAAAACTCACTTCAAATTTTGATTAATGTGGAGTTAAGTGGGTTGGATTCTTGAAAAACTCTTCATTCATAAAATTTAAATATAAAATAATATTTAAAAGGAATTAAACTTATTTTTTTAGACAATAAATTATTAGTAAAAACAAATTATTATTTAGATTGATACTAAAAAATTTATGAAAAATGACAGTCTTATTAATCTTTCAAAGAATCTAATAACTTTTATCAACAATGTGAATATGAAAATGAGAGTCTCTACAAAGCTATCACTCCTTATTTTTGTCAATTTTCCTAATCCTATCTACGTTCACTACTAGATCTATTTAATCTTTATATAGCCTCCTCCTAAGTAGTAGTATTATTTAATTTTCTCTACTAGTTTAAACGATATAATTGCTTAACTTTATATAAAAGTTAAATTTATTAACTTTGATCTCAAAATCAACATTTTATAATTAAATGAGTACTGCTAATACAACTAATTAATTTTTGTACATAACATTTTAATTAATCCCCTAACATTAAAATTTTTTGGTTTGGTGTTGAATTTTCAGATATTCTACTGGTTACTGTACTATGAAACAGTTGTCAGCCATTGTATGCGTGAGAAATTTTGCTAGCTTAATTAAGGAGATCGATAAGGCATCTCCAATTCTAAAGTAACCCATCCAACGCAAGCCAGGTCACAATTGACATAGACTAATTAGAAAACCCCATTTCCTTAAGTCACAACATTTCTTGGTAATTTTCTCTTAATTTGATCAATAAGAACCCACATATACTTTATATGGAACCCACCATTAATTAATTAAACACTTCTAAATATAGTTAACTTATAAAATAGAGATTAGTGTTTATTAAAAAGAAAAAAAACCTTTAAAAGTAAGTCATATTAATAAAGTGTAATGAAAAAATAGTAAAATAATCTTATTTTTATTTTAAAAATAAATTATTTTAATATTTTTAATTAAAATTTATTAAAATTATGTAATTTTAAAATATTATTATTTGAAATACACACTTTTTTCTTAAATTTTTTTTTTTTCAAGGATAAGAAAAGCTATGGGTAATCAAAGTCATCTACAATGAAAAACTCAATGAATTCATTTTTGGCTTATTATATACAGAAAGGAAAAGGGGTGAGTCATTTTCAAAGTGAGAGTTGGCGTCTTTTGCCCTCCACGCAGCTTAAAACACGCAGTACAGGCAAATACAGACACTCCATTCGACACGTTTCGACCTCTAAAATCCGTTCTTTCTACAGATTTAGATCATAGAGAAAGCAGAGTTGTAAAATTAATGGTTTTTTTTTTTTTTAGCAATATTATACATAATTAATATATTCTTCCTAGTTAGTTTTCTACTTCTTCCCTAGGGCGAGAGAAATTCATGTGTGTTTTGTTAGAAAATTCACGAGAATGCAAAAAGGGCAGTTGAGAATTGCTAGGCTTATCGCATGTTTGCTTCACGCAAGCAGCTAAATGGTAAGGCTTTGCTCTCTCGCGTGGCTTTAAAGGCTTCTTGCATCGTTGTAAATCACCTGTTTAAAAAACCCACCCAAACCAACCCCTTAAAAATATATCATCCCCTTTCTCCTCCTAGCTCCTTCGTCTTCTTCAACTTCTCGAAGATCGTTCACTGCAAATTAACCCTAATCATGACGCACATATTGGTCTAAACATATAGATTGCGTCACAGAAAAATGAGTGCAACCCCTAGTAGTAGCGGTGGCGGTAGTGGCAGTAGTGGAGGCGGTGGGGGTCCGTGTGGTGCGTGCAAGTTTTTGAGGAGGAAATGTGTTCTGGGGTGTATATTTGCCCCATATTTTGACTCCGAGCAAGGTGCGGCTCATTTTGCTGCGGTGCATAAGGTTTTTGGGGCGAGTAATGTGTCCAAGCTGCTTTTGCATATTCCTGTTCAGAAACGTCTGGATGCGGTTGTGACCATATGCTACGAGGCTCAGGCGCGGCTCAGAGATCCTGTTTACGGCTGTGTTGCTCACATCTTTGCTCTTCAGCAACAGGTAATAAGATTTCATCTTTTCTTTAATTAGTTTGCTTCTTGCCTTTGTTATCTCTTTCGTCTTAATTTTAACCACGTTTTTATTTTGTTTTTGAAAGTAGGCAATAGTTTAACCACGTTATTGTTTCGACTTAAGATCTTGAAAACTTTTCTTTTTCAAGTGATAATTATTGGTTTTTTACAAAGTGGTAAGAGTATTTTGGATCATGGGTTTGAGTTGTGCCTTAAACGAGGGTTGTACTGTGTTATGTACCGGGGAGTACTAGGAGCAGTGAAAAATAGCTAGGTAAGAAGAGAAATGGAATTGCATGCTTTGGTGCTTGATGAACAGTTTTGGGGTTTGCTGAAATTTAGATTAGTTTTCTGATTAAAAAATCATTTGGTCGGCGGTTACCACAAATGGTTGGCCAGTTCCCTGTGAAAATTTGTGGATTTTGCAGGTATTAAGGAATTGGTCGGTTTCATGTAAGCAAACATTTTAAATTTTGTTTATGTCTCTTAATTAGATTTAAAAATATTAATATAATCCAATATCTTTGATCAATTGAGCATTAAAGTACAAAAATAATTTTGCTTCTCCTTCCACAAGGACTACTCACAATTATCCTAGGGGGTGAAAAATTCTGTTGGGTTTCACTGTTCTACTTCTGTATCACAAGAAAGCTTGATTTGTGAGCAACACCATGTTCTCCTGCACATTGTCCGAGTACTGCTTTGGTGTAAACAAATTTCAAAACTTTTAATAATAAATAAGTATTGTTTTATAAATTAAATTTAAATTTTAAATTTTAAGATTTAATATCTAAAGAAAGTAATTTATTTTAATGCATTAAGTTAAGATGAGGATATACTCCTAAAATTATCAAGTAAAATCTTAATCTTGATGTACTTAAAAATTAATTAAGGGTGTAACATTGTAGTAAATGAAAAAAAAAATTTAGCAGACAAACATAGTCTTAAACATACCTACATTGTTAATTTTATTAATTTCCATTATATCTCCAACAATGTAACATCGATTGATTGCTTTCACTGTTTCACATACCTAACATCATTTGCTTGAAATTAGTGAAAAGATGTTTAGTGTTGAAAATTGATTTGCACTTTAGCTGGTAGTCGAATTGGTAAAGTACTGAGGTCGCATTCCGTCCTTAAATGGTAAAAGAAATTTTGTTGGACATCAATTTATAATCTTGATATATTAATTGTTTCTGTTATTTTTCACACAGGTGGTGAATTTACAAGCGGAGCTTTCATACTTACAAGCCCATTTGGCAACATTAGAGCTTCCGTCACCGCCACCACCTCCGCCACCTCCTACACTTGTGACACCACCACCGCTATCAATCTCAGACCTCCCATCTGCCACCTCGGTCCCCACCACATACGACTTGTCGTCTCTCTTCGAACCGATCGTGCAAGTGCAACCTTCATGGGCCATGCAGCAGCGGCAAATGGATCCACGGCAATACGGCGGCAGTTGCTCTACGTCAACGGGTAGCGGTGATCTTCAGGCGCTGGCGCGCGAGCTTGTCCACCGACAAGGGTCTCCCCAACACGGTTCTGCACCGTGTGCTGATGCATCATCACCATCTATGTCTAAATGAGATACTGACCTTGAAATTAATAGTACTACTACTTGCCTTCGAGCTTGCATGTCATCGTCACAACACTACTAGATAACCGTACGTCTAAGGGTGAAAGGGGCTTAATTTTTGTGCTGTAGTCATTTCATCGTGGGAAAGTAATCACCTTAATAACATTTTTTCTTTTCCTCTCCCTTCAATATTTCTGTTCCTTTGTTTTTTTTATTTTTATTTTTTTTAAATATAATATTAAGTTAATATTTATTTAAAAAAATCAAATTTAGAAGTCGATCTACGAATCGAAATACATTTCACTTATTTCTCACTTTAAACTTGATAGCCCTACTTCTCACTTTAAACTTGATAGCCCTACGATCACATCGGAGAATGCTTTCGGTTCCTTTGTTTATTCCTTATATTAGTAAGTATTTAACTGTTAGCTATTTTTGACCTTACTTTTAATTCTAAAAATGAAATTTCGAACATTTTGCCAAGTTTGTGTATCAAGAAATCGTTTAAAAAAAACATAAAGGTTTTTTTATTTTTTTATTTTTTAATGAATTGGAGCAAAATGACAACGAGATATTGAGCTGTCAGTCTGTAACATGATCTCCTAGCTCTCGGCGCACTGGAGGCCTACTTGATTAATGAGCCGAGTCAGACCTGTTCTAGCATACCCTTCAATGAACAATTTTCTAAGAAATTTAAATTAACAGATAAGTGATGTGCCGTCCGTTTTATAACTATTAAATGAATTAAGGATAGCACCTCCATCAATAGTTATAAATATGCAATGAACGTAGAGTAGACTGTAAAATAGCAATCTCTTACAACGGAGAATCCCAAATTCACCTTGTTGTGAGACAGAATGACATTCTCTTGTGGCAAGTACCATCACGTTTGTTCCTTCCATCACGTTGCCATCGAAGCTATCAGTAGGAACTCACCTTTGGAGAGGTGGTTTTCCATAATGGCACGAGAAAAAAGTCTGGGGATTAATTACGAAACAGCAACCTCGGAATGTGATTCTGATGATGCATATTCTCTCAAGACAAGCTCTACTTCTTCGACTACCCCAAGTTGTTTAAACCATGCCGCTAGTATTCCTGAAGCTTCTTTCCCAACCGTGATTCCATGTCTCTCTAGGCCCATTAGAAAGTCCAAGGCTTTGTTAATCTTGTTCTCCTTCTCATAAGCAGCCAGCACTAGAGCTATACATTTATCACTGGGTTCAAGAACTGCTCTCCTCATATTCTCGAATGCAACATGTGCATGTTCACTCTGACCTGCCACTGCATAGGCATTTATTAAGAGCCCGCATATCCTAGCATCAGGGGAAAAGCCTGCAAGCTGAATTGCATCAAACACTCTTTGGGCTCCTTTGGTGTTACCAACTATGGAATAAGCCCTTAGTAATGCTTTGTAGACTTCCCTTCCCGCATAAACTTCTAGCGAATCCATTTCTAAAAGTAAAGCCTCTCCTTTTTCTGGCATTCCGACTCTGATGTAGGCCAGGATCATTGCGCCATACGATTTTTTATCCAATTGTTCGCCAAGCAGCTTAATCTCTTCAAAAGTTTCTTCAGCCAGCTTAAGATTTCCGGCCCTGCTATACAGGTGAATCATGATTGTCAAAGTTACTTGGTCACAGATGAAGCCTCTTCTTGTCATTGTTATTAGAGTACTTGTAGCATCTTGAAGCTGGTTTTGCTCCCCATAAGTATGGATTATCTTGGTATAGTCACGGACATTGGCTTCAAAAGATTCTTCAAGTAATGCAGCCTCTGCTACCTGGAAAAACAGAATGAGCCAGGGATTAAGCGAGGACTGTAAGGAGTTACCGACATTCATGTACCCCCAGAGTACTGTTTCAAAATAAGATAATCTATTTTGGAAAATGAGGGAAACTTAATTCAGAATCAAACAAATACGTGGACTATACCCTGGGAAGATGGATAACCCATTCATCTAAGGATAGAGCAGCAAGTAATAAAAGTGCTGGTTATCAAGAAAGGTACTAGTCCCATAGTTGATATTGACTCTTTACAGGTAATTGAAGTACAAATAAACCTTTATGGCATTATAACTGATATTATTAAGATCACAGCTGCTGAGTTGTGCATCTTCACATATATCAGAAAAGAGGCTGATATTGTCGCAAACAAAGATGCTTAGGATCACATGAATGTTTCTGAAGCTATCCCATTGCTGGATGAGTTTCCTCCCAAGGCTCTGCTTTATAACTATTAAGATATTTCTCTTGGTGAAAGAAAACTTGTAAGTCCGTACTCCATTCACCCCCACACCCGAAAAAAAAAAAAAACCCACAGCTATGCAGAGGCCAATGAATTAGAAGCAAAGTGAGAAAGAGTGTAGGAAATCAGTTCCTTGTACAAAAGAACTATTAAAATTAACCACACAAGTTATATTCCCTTGTAGAATGAAAGACCAACTACCACTCTATAAAAGCCACCAAATAAGAAAGCTTCAGCTTGTTTCTCTAGACACACCAATACAAGAATCCAATTCTCCCTTCAAATTTATGCATTCCTTTCAAGATAAAGAATAGAAGAAGTGTATGGAACCCAGATAAATCCACTGTATAACATTGATCTTCAATAAATCTCACAAACAGAAAAGATCAAGGGATAACATTAATACCCATATAAATAAACTACTAAAGAGAAATTTGTATGATTTAGAATTTATTCTCACTCTATTAAACAACATGAAGATAGAAATCATAAAAAAGAAAAAAAAAAAAGATTTTCCTATAGAAGTAAGCCACAAACACAACAAAATCATGAAAATGAAGTGAAAATTAAGGGTACCTGAAGATAAAGAGGATGCTCCATTATCTTCAATTGTTTAAGAACAGCAAGCCAATCAGCTCTCCTGGGCTTCATAATCCGCACCCAAGCCGCCAACAAATCTTCTAAACTCCCCTTTTCCTGGGAGAAGCAGATAATCTGCTTCATTACTGCCTTGCATCGCTTCTTCATCTTATGTGGGAGTTTAGATATGGCTTCCTTCTGCTCTTCATTGATGTTAGGACCAATCTCAACCCACCTAAACCTTCTTTTTGGTTCCCCTGTTTCTGGTTCCTCCATCTCTTTTACGCTAATAATGGCTAATTCTGGCTCATTACTGAATGCACAAGAACTGATTTTTCCTGGCTTCCTAAACAACAAGTTCCCCCATGATCGAATGCATCTGGGAGTCCTGGTTTTACTGAAAATTGGGTAAGTTCCGTAAGAACAAGAGGGCATATTACAAGCAGAACTCGCCATGTTTACATCGTAACATCGCAATCTTCTTTTGCTTCTGAGATTGAATTGTTTCGAGGAAGATACAAAGATTTTGCAGAGGGAAGGGATGGAGTCTGAGGAAAAGAGAAGGATAGATTAGAGGTTTTTCCCGTTTCAGAGTTCCCTGGGTCCACTGATTTTCAGAAAGTGCGATGAGATGGGCCATGGGCCTCTTGTAGGGCTTCAAGTTTTAATCACTATCACAAACGAAGCCCACAAATTTCTGCGCAGTGTCAAACTGTCAAGTGGATTACTAGCTTGGGCCATAGGTTTCTTTGGGCTTTAAAACCTTCAATTTGGGCTTAACTTAAATATATGGCTTTGTAGGGGCAGCTAATTATCTTCTGATATTGATGTTTATCAACGTGCCTGTAAACAATTAATTGTAATTTTTAATATATAATTTCTATATAAAAAAAAGATTGACTTTATTTTTATTAGCAACTGCCACATCATAAAATTAAAATTAAAGTGAATTTTTAATTTTTAATATAAATTAATTATATAAAAATACAATGAATATACTTTTATATTAATGCTGTGAAATTTCCTTCTTTTTTTTTTTTTTTATAAATTCTAAATAATTGCATGATTGGAAGTTTAAAAGGGCCTATGAGAGAACGGTGGCGAAATGGATAAAGGCAGAAGCTTAGAACCTTAATCCGTAACTAATTTAGTAATATATGAAGGAACCTAATCCGAAATACCAGAATTGCCATCGCCATTCCTCAACAACCGCAGCTAAAAGACCAAAGCATTCCCAAAGTTAATGAAGGGCAATTTCGTCATACGAACTTCTAATCTTGGACTTTCATTAAAAAAAAAAACCGGAAGAGAACAAAACGCGATCTAAATCTGAACGCCACTGTGAATCAACGAAGCTCACTATCTTCCCACCGTCTCCCCTCCGCCTGACTTTATGCAGTTAGAAGCAGAGCCACCGCGTCGACTCGCCACCGACTGTACTCGCCGTCATTGTGCACTGAGATAACAAGCAATTGACGAGCTAGAGTGGGGGAGAAAGAAGATCCCTACGATTTTCGTCACCATTTCCTAGATCTGATTCATTGAGTTAAAAGAGTCATCCTGACTCGGGAATGGCTTCTTCGGAAGCCGATTCCCGCTTGAGCCAAGTTCTAGGCCCTGCCTTAGAGAAGATCATCAAGAACGCCTCCTGGCGCAAGCACTCCAAACTCACTCATCAATGTAAATCTCTTCTGGAGAGAATCGTTACTCCTCAGAAAACGCCACAGTCTTCGTCAGAATCGGAGCCTGAGAACTCGATCCCTGGCCCACTCCACGACGGCGGTCCTGTAGAATATTCTTTCGCTGAATCAGAGTCCATACTCAGCACTCTAATCAATGCCTGTGGTACTGGAGTCATTAAGATCGTTGATCCAGCTGTTGATTGCATACAGAAGTTGATCGCATACGGCTACCTGCGAGGCGAAGCGGACTCCACCGGAGGCCCTGAGGCTCAGCTGTTATCGAAGGTGATTGAAGGTGTTTGTAAGTGTTACGATTTAGGCGACGATGCAGTTGAATTGCTGGTGTTAAAGACGCTACTATCAGCAGTTACCTCGATATCTTTGCGGATTCACGGAGATTGTTTGTTGCAGATTGTGAGGACCTCTTATGATGTTTATTTAGGGAGTAAAAATGTGGTTAATCAGACAACGGCCAAGGCGTCGTTGATTCAGATGTTGGTAATCGTGTTTAGGAGGATGGAGGCCGATTCGTCTACTGTTCCAATTCAACCAATTGTAGTGGCTGAGCTTATGGATCCGGTTGAGAAATCCGATGAAGATGGATCAATGACGCAGTTTGTGCAAGGATTCATAACTAAAATTATGCAGGACATTGATGGAGTGTTAAATCCAGTGACTCCAGGCAAGGTTTCATCAGGTGCTCATGATGGTGCCTTCGAGACTACAACAGTTGAAACCACAAATCCTGCAGATTTATTGGACTCCACAGATAAGGACATGTTGGATGCTAAGTATTGGGAGATAAGCATGTATAAGACTGCATTGGAGGGAAGGAAAGGGGAGTTGGCTGATGGGGAAGTGGAGAGAGAGGATGATTTGGAAGTTCAGATTGGGAATAAGTTGAGGAGAGATGCATTTTTAGTGTTTAGAGCCCTTTGTAAGCTGTCCATGAAGACTCCTCCTAAGGAAGCTTTGGGAGATCCCCAATTGATGAGAGGGAAGATTGTGGCTCTTGAGTTGTTGAAGATTTTGTTGGAGAATGCTGGTGCTGTTTTCAGAACCAGTGAAAGGTACACATTTCTCTTTTATTCTTTTTGTTTTACATTTAGAATTTATGCTTTAGATTTATTGATATATTCATTGTAAATGTTGTGAGTAGATAGTTGGTATATCATTTTAAATTGATTAGCCATTGACACATATTTGTTTTTAGGAGAGAACAAGGATATGCTTAATTTTAAGTCTCCAGAAGCAATATTAATGTATAGGTATTTGTTTTTTTAGGTAAAATGTGAATTTTATTTCCTGAGAAAGACAAGGTAGAGGTATATACAAATATAGTTTTCAAGGATTGCCAGAGAACACTTAGAGCATTTTGTTGTATTGGAACGGAATGATGTGGCTTTTTGAGTAGTTAGTTATTTAGTGTTCATGGTATATCCTCACTCGGTATTTTGAATCCCTCTATGTGTTAATCTTTCCATCTGAAAATTTTACCTGAAGATTTTACAAGCTTGTTCTGGTGCTTGACTTCCTTACTGAATCTGTATTTTTCTTGACCTTTTAGTTTCCATTCCTTTTGTTTTCTCTTCTAGGGCTTTGTCTAGTAATGGATTTGTCTTTTTGTCTTATCCTAGTAATGAATTTTTTATTTTTGAAAAACATTTGTATTTTCAAGCCATTTGGAATTAAGTATATGCAATTGTTTTTCCCTGTATGAAAAGTATCCTAATGTGAATTCCTTTAATGCATGTCATTTGTAGTTTGTGAAATTTCTCATGTCGATGTAGCTTAAGAGTTTCTCATATTTAATATGTTTCTGTTCACTGCAGGTTTTTAGGTGCCATTAAGCAGTACTTGTGTCTGTCATTGCTGAAGAATAGTGCATCAACTCTTATGATTGTTTTCCAGCTTTCTTGCTCCATTTTCATCAGTCTGGTGTCACGATTTCGACCTGGACTTAAGGCAGAGATTGGAGTTTTTTTCCCTATGATTGTTCTCAGAGTCTTAGAGAATGTTGCTCAGCCTAACTTCCAGCAGAAAATGATTGTTCTTCGCTTTCTGGAGAAGCTCTGTGTTGATTCACAGATCTTGGTAGATATCTTTATTAATTATGATTGTGATGTCAATTCGTCGAACATTTTTGAGAGGTATGTTGTATAATCTTGTCCGTGATTGATATAAAATTAAATTTCCATTCAATGGCAGAATCTTGTGCTGGCATTTTCTTTTCCATTCCTCATCAGTGTTATGTGATCCCCTGTTTGATGTTAATTTGCTTATTTTTCTCTTGCCATCATTGTTCTTTCCAGAATGGTCAGTGGACTTCTTAAAACAGCTCAAGGTGTCCCTCCTGGTACAGCCACTACTCTATTGCCACCTCAGGAAGTGACCATGAAACTTGAAGCTATGAAGTGTTTGGTGGCTATTTTAAGATCAATGGGAAACTGGATGAACAAACAGTTTCGCATACCAGATCCTCATTCTACCAAGAGGTTTGAAGCAGTTGAGAACATTTCTGAACCTGTAAGTCCCCCCATGGCAAATGGGAGTGGGGACGAGGCTGTTGAAGGATCAGAAACTCCTTCTGAAGCATCTAGTGAAGCAACTGACGTATTGACAATTGAGCAGCGCAGAGCTTACAAGCTGGAACTTCAGGTAAATTTATAAATAAATTTTGGAAAGCAAGTTTAACTTGTGTTGATTTTTCAGCTGATCATAGTTGGTGAAATTTAAATTAATATTTATGGCAGGAAGGTATATCTCTTTTTAATCGCAAACCTAAGAAAGGAATTGAATTCCTAATAAAAGCAAATAAGGTGGGCGACTCACCAGAGGAGATTGCAGCCTTTCTTAAAAATGCCTCTGGGCTAAACAAAACATTGATTGGTGATTATCTTGGAGAAAGGGAAGAATTGTCTCTTAAAGTGATGCACGCCTATGTTGATTCCTTTGACTTCCAAGGTATGGAGTTTGATGAGGCAATCAGGGCCTTTCTCCAAGGTTTTAGGTTGCCTGGTGAAGCACAGAAGATTGATCGAATCATGGAAAAGTTTTCTGAGCGTTACTGCAAATGTAACCTGAAGGCTTTTACTAGTGCCGATACAGCCTATGTGCTTGCTTACTCTGTGATATTGCTCAATACGGATGCCCATAATCCTATGGTTAAGAACAAGGTGTGTCTTCACATCTCTTTTAATCTAGTTGATGTTTAGTGCTGAAAGTTGATAAATTGACTGTTTTAGTATCTGTAGATGTCAGCTGATGACTTCATAAGAAACAATCGTGGGATTGATGATGGAAAAGATTTACCAGAGGAGTACCTAAGATCATTGTTTGACCGGATATCAAGAAATGAGATCAAAATGAAAGAAAATGATTTAAACATGCAACAGAGGCAGTCTGTGAACTCAAACAGAATTCTAGGATTGGATAGCATCTTGAATATTGTGATACGTAAGCGGGGTGAAGACCAGTTTATGGAGACCAGTGATGATCTCATCAGGCACATGCAAGAACAATTTAAAGAGAAAGCTCGCAAATCTGAGTAAGATAATCTGTCTTTTACTTTGCTCTGCACATTGACACTCTGCATCTTTTGTACTGTGATCCTTACAATGATGGATTACTGCCCTTTATGGTGATGTGGTTACAATTGAAAATCACCCAAGTTGGTGCTCTTTAAAATATTGAGAGAAAGGAACTCTTGTCTACCAGGGACAAAATTAGCCAGCTACTCTTCCTCCCATTTTTCTGTGTGTGGTTTTTTATTTTCTTCCCCTTTTTTTTTCCCTTTATGCTACTTAAACATCTCTCTTCTGTGTAGGCATATTTCTATTCCATGTTTGGAATGAAAAACTATATTTTTTTAGACTTCTTTTGATTTTTATTCGAATTGCAATATGTAGGTCAGTTTATTATCCAGCCACAGATGTGGTGATTCTTAGATTCATGATTGAGGTTTGCTGGGCACCCATGTTGGCTGCCTTTAGTGTGCCGATCGAACAAAGTGATGATGAAGTTGTGATTGCATTATGTCTTGAAGGTTTCCGTTATGCAATCCATGTTACTTCTGTAATGTCCATGAAGACTCATAGAGATGCTTTTTTGACATCCTTAGCAAAATTTACTTCACTTCACTCTCCTGCTGACATCAAACAGAGAAACATAGATGCAATCAAGGTTTGTATAAAGCTTCAAGTTTTCTTATTCAATATATTGAAAATTTTCTTTTGACCCATGATAAAATCTGTTTTCACTTCACCTTAACGATATGCAGGACAAAATAATTAATGTTGTGTTTTGCATTTAATTTTTTTTTTCTTTGCTAGGCAATAGTCACGATAGCAGACGAAGATGGTAATTATTTGCAAGATGCTTGGGAGCATATTTTGACATGTGTCTCCCGATTTGAACATTTGCATCTCTTGGGAGAAGGTGCTCCTCCAGATGCCACTTTCTTTGCATTCCCTCAAAATGAGTCTGACAAATCAAAACAGGCCAAGTCAAATGTCCTCCCAGTTTTGAAGAAGAAGGGACCGGGGAGGATTCAGTATGCAGCTGCTACTGTGTTGAGGGGTTCATATGACAGTGCTGGTATTGGTGGCAATTCTGGTTCAGTCACTTCTGAACAGATGAACAATTTAGTCTCAAATCTAAACATGTTAGAACAAGTTGGAAGCTCTGAGATGAATCGCATATTCACACGGAGTCAAAAGTTAAACAGTGAAGCTATAATAGACTTTGTTAAGGCCCTCTGCAAGGTTTCTATGGAGGAATTGCGGTCTACGTCTGATCCACGGGTATTTAGTCTTACAAAGATTATTGAGATCGCGTAAGAGCCTTCCTGCTTACTTTTATTCCTTTTCTTTTCCTCAACTTATTCCTAAATTTGCTGCTATGTCCTTTTTCTTTTTGGATAGTAATTTCTGCCCTTTCTAAATTGTAAAATTTGTTTTTGTTGACAGGCATTATAACATGAACCGTATAAGGCTTGTGTGGTCAAGCATCTGGCATGTGCTCTCTGATTTCTTTGTGACCATTGGCTGTTCTGAAAACCTTTCGATCGCAATCTTTGCAATGGACTCTTTACGCCAGCTATCCATGAAAGTCTTAGAGCGAGAAGAGCTGGCAAATTATAATTTTCAGAATGAGTTTATGAAGCCTTTTGTAATTGTTATGCGCAAAAGCAGTGCTGTGGAAATCAGAGAATTGATAATCAGATGTGTCTCTCAGATGGTGTTATCCCGTGTCAATAATGTCAAATCAGGGTGGAAGAGCATGTTCATGGTATTAAATCTTGACAAGTATCCTGTAGATATCAGTTTAATTTCAAAATTGTTACTCTAATTTTATTTTTTTATTGCTGAATGATTATCTTTTCTTTTTCTTAAGGTTTTCACTACAGCAGCATATGATGACCACAAAAACATTGTACTTCTAGCCTTTGAAATTATTGAAAAGATCATCCGA